TATCTATATTGTAAAATAGACCATTCATGATATCTATGTATTGTATTACGACATTGTAAGTCAGTTACTGTTTAATGATGATATAAGTATATGCATCATTGAAAATGTTCATCTTGATGTCTAGCAACTAGTTTGACTTTGGTTCTTTTTGATCATGCTATTATTAGAGCTATTCAAAAACGTAATAACGTACACGATGTTTCGCTGATACACTGGTAAATTTATCGAAATAAAGTGTTGAATGAGTGAATTAAATTTAATTAAGATTGTGAAACAACAGTGGCGTATCCAGGAGGAGTGGTGGGGCGTGAAGATGAAGTTGGGTTGCTCGATGATTAAAGGTGGGGGGAGGGGCGTTAGCTGGCAAATGTGATGATATGAGGTGATTTTATTTACTTGAGAGTGGGAGGAATTTTTTTGATCGAATTGCTCCTTCCCCAACCCCCTAGTACGCCACTGTGAAGTAACAGTCGATGTTATGGCAGCCCGGTCATGACGTTATTTGGCGACGATTTCGTCAAAATTCCAAAAACGATTGAGGGAGCAGGTCGACTCACTGACGGTTTATCATATTATATTGAACTACTATTATTATTAGAATTACCTATATTTACATCCAGCAATCATTGCAAATCCTCGTTTAATATTTTATTTTTTACTTCATATTCTCAGATTTACAAAGACTATATGGAATATGGAAATGGATATTATTATAACCATAGTGACGCGGTTATTCTGGAGGGTAATTTCACAAATACGCAATTTACTATCGAAGGAGGCAACGCCTGGTTCTATTTTTACAGTGACTTCAATGTAAGGCGGAAAGGTTACAACATTGTCTATGAAGCAGGTACAGATAAATACAAAACATATCACATCAGCGATGTATAAATAAAGCTGCAGGAAATAACTAATGAATAGGTCTATGATAATTATAGTTAGCCTATACATAACCATGAATGAAAATTACTATTCATTCAATTCAAATGAGTATAGTGTAACGTTGTTCCAATATTTGGTAAACTCATGGATACAACATGAAAATATTACGTTTTCACAACAGCAAGAACAAAATTTATAATGATATAATAATAGAATTCTGTAATTTAAATCTGTTGTATCGTTCGTTGTAGAAACTGTGAACTGTGATAGTATGCCGTGTGAGAACGGTGGAATATGCATCACACTCGACTACGATTTCACATGCGAGTGTCTTTTTGGCTTTGAGGGACGAACATGTGAAATCGGTAGGTAAATCTATTTCTATAAGTGATTTAAAAAGTAACTATCGTACCATGTATGTTAAATCATTGTTTCCATAAAATCGCTACACAATATCGCCGGCAGCTATTGGAGACGCTGACTGGTCGGTCGAATCGAAGAGGCTTTCTACTGCGTCGGGTACAGCGACGCAATCGATTGTAGTGAAACGATGTACCAACGGAGTAGCAATTTTATGGAAACTAAAATCTGTGATGATGAACTTAGTTTGTGTGAAGCCCTATCCAGGCTACCAAATTTGATTTGACAAAAACATATGACATGCCTAAATATGGTCATGACCACTCATGAGCATATATAGGCATATCATGACTGTATATGGGCATACAACGGTTTTTTGTCAATGGAAATGTGATAATCGGGACAGAGTTTTAATACATGTTCGACACAATGCAAGGATTATTCGGATTTCTTTTGTCAATAATGTTTTCTGCATATCATACTTTTGTATCGACCTTTGATTTGCTTTTGTTCGTCACACCAAAACAAGCTACTTATTATTTTTCATCATCATGTTGTAGGCTTAATGAAAGACAACAATTTGTGTAACCACTAAAGTCGGGCACTCACGGCGTCGTACGACGAATTCAACTCCGCCCCCTGGGAGCGCTTGACGGCACGACGCCGTCTACTGATTGTCGATGACAGTATGAGCGGACCGTCACTAACAACGATCCGTTGCGTGCGCTGGCGTTGTGTTCTTGCATAGAGTCGCGTCAACCAATCACCGTCAGATGCTGTTAATGCCTGGCTTATGGTGATCGCATAGTCGGCATAATCTTATTTTTATGGAAGCACACTAATAATTTTATGACGCTGATAATTACAAATAGTCTGGTTAAAATTGGCATCATTATCATCTTGGCGTTTGGAGCGATCTGCTGCCTCCCCCTATTATACTATGGAGATAGTCTTTCATCTTGACGTTTTTTGTTTCACCACCGTCTTCTTCGATTATTTAGTAATTTTTTGCAGTTTGATTCATTTTCATTTTAATTGATAAGTAATGACTTTTTTTGCGCGGTTGTTAATACTTCAACTTTGCACACAATTACCCCACACAAGATTTTTTTAATGATTTCAGATATCAACGAATGCGATCCAAATCCGTGTAATTCTTGGGAAATATGCACCGAGGGTATCGGCAAATACACCTGTGCCTGCCCCAAGGGTTTCGTAGGAGAGGGGTGCCGTGACAGTAAGTATAAGTACTTGATTTTGATTATCATTTCGTTATATAAAGTAGTTATTTACATTTTATTTATTATATCTTAGTTTTAGTTTTTATTAAATACAGTACATTTTATAAGTGTTCTATATCATAGATTTAGATTATAGCAAAGGCTACTTTCAGTTTAATTCAATCCAATTTCTTACCCAACTAATTATGATGATATATTGACAGTCAATATTGAACAATGGAACCGAGCTATTCTAAAAAAGCAGGCACAACAAATAACTACTTAAAAACAACTAACCCATTCAAACATTTGCACTTTGTATATTTAGCTTCTCAACAAACAGGCTCTACCTGTCACTCCGGCGGACAATTGCACTAGCATAAAAAAAAGTCTGTTGTGACTGTTATAACCAGTTCAACAAGTTCTCAAATTTACGCAGTATAGGGAAATGCGTTTAATATAATACTTTAAATGTTGGTTTTTAAGTCTGTCAATATGGAGAGTTTCAATGTGAAAATGGAGGACGGTGTATTGGTGGACAGATAGGTAGTACATATACCTGCCAGTGTACCTTCGGATGGGAAGGAAGAAACTGTAGTGAATTAATTCCTCGTCGTAAGTATGCGTATGCTTATTAAAGATAGGCTTATTAGATTTTTCCCATTCTCCGGATCTTGACTGTAAGCCTACCTAATACTAGTGTACGTTCTGTCTGAGACAAGTTGTCTCGGGTTCTGTGGGTGAATTGCGTGGTATACCAAGAGAGAATCCCCTACTCTTTTCCGAAAAGTATACTATGTAATTTAAATTGCACATGGGGGCCGTATTGCACAGTGAACGAACGGCTTAAAGTCTCTTTCGACACCGTAGTTGATGTGTCTTTGCAGGTTTAATTTCAGCACTTCAGATAAAACATTTATATGTTAAATGTTGGTAGCCCCTGTGTGTTCGCTGAACGGTGACGATCTCCGGTTCAATTCATATGCTCTCCATGTGGAGGGATGAAAAGTAAGTTACAAATTCGTCTTTCGGGTGGGACGTTTAAGATGTAGTCCCATGTGCATTATGACCCATGTGCACGTTAAAGAACGCAGTACACTCTTTAAAAAAAGAGTAGGGGATTGTCTCCCGGTGTACTGCTCATCACCACCAGAAGACCCCATTGTAAATAAGTCTTCGGACTTAGTGGGTTATCCTTGGTTTGATTCACACCAAAAATACTCCTAAATATCCTAAATACTTGATTCAACTCGGGATAAAATATTTGAAAGGATTTCAATAGTATGCGCACAGTCAGACAAGAGTTACACGTCTTGCATCTTTAATAAAATGTAAACCATTGTAAACTTTTAATTAAATGCGTTGATACAAAAGGCCTATATCGCTCTTTTTACACAGGTCAAAACTGTGGATACAACCAATTTGGAGATACCGGTTCTATTACAAGTCCCAACTACCCGGATGTCTATGATAATGACCATGAGTGCTATTACTACGTGCGCGTGCACAATGCACGACGAATTACATTCTATGTGCAGTTTTTCGAAACCGAGGTATGTTTTTGATAATTTAAGAAATTCATTACTCACTACCCAAACACTTTGAGGGCGCACGTCGACTCGCTGACGGTCTATATAGAGAACTACTATTATTATTAGAATTACCTATATTAACATCCAGCAATCATTGCATATCCTCGTTTAATATTTTATTTTTTACTCCATGTTCTTAGATTTACAAAGACTATATGGAGTATGGAAATGGATATTATTATAACCCTAGTGACGCGGTTATTCTGGAGGGTAATTTCACAAATACGCAATTTACTATCGAAGGAGGCAACGCCTGGTTCTATTTTTACAGTGACTTCAATGTAAGGCGGAAAGGTTACCACATTGTCTATGAAGCAGGTACAGATAAATACAAAACATATCTCATCAACCATATATTAGTAAAGCTTCAGGAAATAACGAATGAATAGGTCTATGATAATTATAGTACATATAACAATGAATGATAATTATTATTCATTCCATTCAAATGAGTATAGTGAGGGATTGTTCCAATATCCGGTAAACTCACAAATACAACATGAAAATGTTTCATTTTCATAATATGCTCAAAAACTGTAACCATATTTTTAAATATCAATTGTGTAACTTACGCAAACATTTATACAAAATAACAATAATATCAACAGTAGCAGTAACAACAAAATTTATAATGATATAACAATAGAATTCTGTAATTTAAATTTGTTGTATCGTTCCTTGTAGAAACTGTGAACTGTGATAGTATGCCGTGTGAGAACGGTGGAAAATGCATCACACTCGACTACGATTTCACGTGCGAGTGTCTTTTTGGCTTTGAGGGACGAACATGTGAAATCGGTAGGTAAATCTGTTTCTATACAATAATTAAAAAGTAACTATCGTACCATGTATATTAAATCATTGTTTCCATAAAATCGCTACACACCATCGCCGACAGCTATTGGAGACGCTGACTGGTCGGTCGAATCGGAGAGCCGTTCTACTGCGTCGGGTACAGCGACGCAATCAATAGTGAAAACGCTGTACCTATACAAAGTAGCAATTTTATGAAAACTGATGAACTTTGTTGGCGTAAAGCCCTGTCCAGGCCACCGAATATGATTTGACCAAATCATGTGACATGCCTAAATATCGTTATGATGACATCACTGATGACAGTATATAGGCATATCATGACTATATATGGGCATACAACGGTTTTTTGTCAATGAAAATGTGATAATCTGGGCAAAGTTTCATAGATGTTCGACACAATGGAAGGATTATTCGGATTACTTATTTCAATAATGTTTACTGCATAATATCATACTTCTGTGTCGTAGTTGACCTTTGATTTGCTTTTGTTCGTCACAGCAAAACAAGCTACTTATAGGAAAATTTTGAGATGAATAATAAACATAAACATTAAGCATTATTGTTCATCACCATGTTGTAGGCTTAACGAAAGAAAACAATTTGTGTAACCTCTAAAACCGGGCACTCACGGCGTCGTACTACGAATTCAACTCCGCTCCCTGTAAGCGCTTGACGACACGACGCCGTCTATTGATTTTCGGTGGTAGTCTGAGCGGATCGTCACTAACAACGATCCGTTGCGTGCGCGTCGTGGCGTTGCGTTCTTCATAGAATCGCGTCGATGGACGGCCGTCATGCGCAGTAAGTGCCCGGCTTAATGATGGTCGCATAGTCGGCATAGTCTTATTTTTAAACAAGTACACTAATAATTTTATGACGCTGGTGACCCTAATTCTTAACTTCAAGTCTGGTTAAAATTGGCATCATTATCATCTTTGCGTTTGGAGTCAATGGCTGCCCTCCTTTTATACTATGGAGATAGTCTTTGATCTTGACGTTTTCGGCACTATTTTCTTCACCACTGTCTACTTCTGTTGCCTCTGTAGCCGTGTTCAGACAAATCCTTCAACCCCCTCCCCCTCCACCCATCTTACTTCAACTTTGCACTCAATTACCCGACATAAGGTTTTTTTTAATGATTGCAGATATCAACGAATGCGATCCAAAGTGTAATTCTGGGGAATTATGCACCAACGGCACCTGTACCTGCCCGAATGGTTTCTTTGGAGAGGAGTGTCGTGACAGTTAGTATGATCAACAGACTTTCTTTCTCTATAACTCATCTTCATAAAGGTTTCACATACGGTAACATACTGTAAATAGGCTCTAAACAATTATACAAAACGTAACGTAGGTGTATACCACGCGAAAAAGTTTAACCATTTTAATTTCACTGAAAAGTACAACTACACTGCTTTGTTAACCTAGGTGTTGTATTGCGATCAATTAACAGGGCGGATCCAGAATTTTTTTCAAAAATGGGATCATTAATTTTATTCTTTTTTGTTCTGATTTCAATACCTAACATTGATATGTACGGAAATTTAAATATTTATTATTGTCAAAATATTGTCCCTCCATTATATTCGTACCTGATCAATCTAGATGTCACAACCCAATAAAAAGTGTGGGTTGATACAACTCTGTGACGAGTTGATTGGCCCAACGGTGAGTGACACCGTAACCTTCAGCTATAATATTGGCGTTGGAAGAAACGGCTCACAGGTCTTCTCGGATAAGGACTTTAAACTGGCCCGGTGTACGCAATTGACCCTTGTGCACTTTAAAGAACTAAGTACATCCTTCGATAAGATTAGGGGGTTACCCCTGTACACTGGTCAATTCAGTCCCCTGTCGTTTAATGGATGTGCCACGTATGATAGTGATTACGTTCACTGAGTGGCATATTATGCTTGGCGCTCGTGCCTAAAGAAATGAAATGAAAACAAAAAAATGAAAAGTAGGTTAGATTTTGAGTAGGCCCTACGCGTTCAAGCTGCGTACACGCGTTCTACGATATAGAGGTTAATTTATACACTGCCCAACACCCTACCTCCCCCAATCAAGGTTTTTATAACTAAAGATAGCGCAATCAATCATAATTTCGTGTAACAAAAATAAAAACGTCTGAACGTCAAATAGTTCGTTCTCCACAAATTAATAAGTTCGTGGTAGATCTTTTAAGCCGCACGAGTGCAAAGAGGCTGCCGAACAGATATATAAGACTAAACGCATCATTATGAGGATTAAGTAAGAAGGCAGTTTAAAAACTACATATTTTATGCTCTTTTTTCCCGCTATTATTTGAAATAATTTATCATTTATACTAGCTTGTATCCAGGATTGCTCGAATAGACTGAGAATGAAATGTGGAAGCGATGGGAAAACCTATCGAAACAGGTGTTATTTGATGAACGCCAAATGTCTGGATCCAAGCATCAAAATGGTGTCTAGAACAGCGTGCAACACAGGAGGTGAGGTTATTTTCATAACGTTTCTTCGATAGAGAAACTTACTCTTGCATTCCTCCCTCCACATAATTCAACAACTAGGCCTACATTATCATAGTAATATAATATGTATCATTAGGAAGTGTATTTTGTTCACAGGAACAATTGAGGTCGTAGGCGGCGACCGTATTTGTTTTCAGGCGGAAGATGACAGCAGTATGGAAAGTTTGGAGAGGGCTGCGTGTCCTATTGGTAAGGCTACTTTTCTATTTTTATTATCATCAATAAAATTCTCATCATAATACTATGCTATTATTATATTACATTAATATTATTATTGCTTTTGTTATTATTAGGTCACTATCACACTAAATACAGCACCATTTTAGGCCTAATAATTGTGACATTTATTTATATTTTGTTAAAAACTTAATTATTTTTTAAATTACCAGTAACTACAGCGGCTCCCGCGCCTACGACGGCTCATATGACAACGATCAGAACCAGCGAATCAAAACTAACAACCAATGGATGTATTAAGCCTTCCGAATGTCCTACAGTGTACGACCCAGTTTGTGGAACTGACGGTGTGACCTATCCAAATTTATGCTATTTGTTAGTCATAAAGTGTCGAACGGATCCTAAGATAACCTTTACCTTAGGAGAATGTTTAAGGAACGAAATGCCGTAGTCAGCATACAGTATATTGTTATTGATAATACTGTAAAATTATTGTTTATTAACTATTATTAACGAGAATGCTTTAGGATGTTAACAATAAGGGTACTCTTTATGGGCAGATTTAGAAGACAATGCTGTCGGAAGCATTTTGCAAGTGGTCCAGCCATTATAAGAGCGGGATGGGGGAGAGTCATACCCACCTCAGTACCTCTAGATGGTCGGAAATGACACTTTTATATGGTAAAATTCATCATCATAATCACCATTATATAGAGTAAAAAGGAAGCGAATACAAATTTCTCATGTTCTTCATCATCGATTTTCCGCAACCATAGAGATCTAATTAATATGCGTGAGTTACCATAGAAAATAAAACTTAAAAACATTGTCTTTGATGTATTTTACTTTACTTTACTTTACTTACTTCAAAGCCGTGAGTGCACACCCACCTCATCCCCATCATGGTTGGGGGAATTACCTCAAGATGGCCGGAATGACACTCATATAGTAAAATTCATCATCATCACATCATCATGATCTTTTATCTGCAATTTTCGGCAATAATAGAGATATAATTAACTTCTGTATTGTACCCTAGAAAATGATGCATTTACTTTAATTTACCTACTTCGTGTGCCGAAAACCAATATTATACTTTTTCTCATAGTTCTCAAATTATAATAAAGGCACGCACACTCGAGTCGTGTATTACAGATAATTCAGATTTCAGTGGGCAGAGATACCTGAATCTTGCTATAAGAAGATGCACGGTACTCTACTTTGGCTGTACAACGCTCTTTCGTTAAATCTGGTTCATTTTTATGCAGTTTATTTCAACAACTTTCGGGCATCTTCTTTAGTTATGAAATTACATTGTGGTCGAAAAGTGAGTGGGACCAAAATCCACTTAAAAATATGTAGGGGGATGTGTCTCCCGACTCCCCATGATATGCGCCCATACTGGTAATTTTAAAGTCACTACCCGGTCCCCCCAGGGGGTGGACACAACACCATGGTTGGTAAAAAATGGCTCCTCTGCCGGGAGATAGCACATACTTTACAAAAATGAATGTCCCTCACTTTAAAAGGGTGATAAATTTAGATTGCAAGTAATTAGGGCCGGTTTGACCATTAATACCTTTGTGTCACATAACATCCTATATACTGATTCCATCGGAGTAGTTTTTTTTAAGTCGATTCTTATCCTACAATCATCAACTTCATAATTATCGACATCATCATCACCGCCATCATCATCTTCATCATCACCATCAACATCATCATCATCATCACCATCATCATCATCATCTTCATCATCACCATCAACATCATCATCATCATCATCACCATCATCATCATCATCATCATCATCATCATCATCATCATCATCATCATTAATATCATAACTACCACCATTATTATTATTATTATTATTATTATTATTATTATTATTATTATTATTATTATTATTATTATTATTATTATTATTATTATTATTATTGTTGCTGTTGTTGTTGTTGTTATTGTTATTGTTATTATTATTATAACAAGGGGCTGCCTAGAACCTTGTTCAGGGTCTCGGAATAAAATCCCTGGGTTGAGGTTCATGGGGAGAAATCTTACGGTACAGGATCGCCCATGTGATTTTTGACTACATTTGGATTGGTTATTAAAATATATTTGTTTGGTTCGGCAAATTAATGTCGTGGAGCCGGACGGGGGAGTTGATGTTAGTTTATAAGTTATGGTAACTCGGACTACATGAGCAAGGCTAATTGCTTCGAGTTAAAAATAATGTTTTACAGCAACATGTGCTACTGGGGCCCAAACGCGGGATTTATCAATCTTAGCTTAGTAAGTGTCTTAAGTCAAAGAAGTTAAGATGTCCCTAAAGCAAATATCTTAAGCTGATTTATCAAGTCATTTTAACAAATCTTAGCTTAAAAATTGTCTTAGATGGCGCATGCGTACAGTCCACTCTTTAATTTTAAGCATGAGCTAACCAGCGTTCCGCAAACTTTTGACTCCACGGCCTATTTACGATTCCAGGCACCAAGCCGCGGCCAAGCAGCCCTGCCGCGCCAGGGACCAACATACCAAATCCTGGCAAGAACTTTTGATCATGAAGCTTTTACGTATATACAATATTTTGACATCATTATCTGTTCTCTTAGTGATAAAATTTATTTTTATACAAATTAAATATTATTTCATTAAATAAATACTAACGTACATTTGTGGTTCCACTTCCCCCACCCCCTCCCCCCTCGACAATTGTTGATTTTTTTTTCTACCATGATTCAACCAAACACGGTTCAGCCACACACGTCATAGCTTTCTCCTCCTTCCAAAACTTTTACGCACACTCTGTTACTCAACAACTTTGAAAGACTACCTTACTATACAGGTATTATGTTTAGTAATAAAGTATCCACATGGGTATACGGTTATCAAGGAATATGTGGTGTTGTTTACTGTAGTGATCTTTCTAGGATAACATAGTGTCTAGCTCCCGAGGAGGCATAGGCACAACAAACCGCTTATAACTCAAATAGCATGCATCATCTTGCACTTTAGCAGCATGTGCAAGCGACTCATTCTCTGTATCAATAAAGAGCCTTTATTAAAGACTATTTTCCCCATGATGAAACGTCTCTTTCTTATTTTATTTTTTACATTTTTTTCCAGACGGCTTCGCGGCCCTCCAAAAATGTTTCGCGGCCCAAATTTGGGCCGCGGATCACAGTTTGCGGAACGTCGATCTAAGCAATATTGATAAATTTGACGTAAGACAATTTCTAGTTTGATAAATCTGGCCCCAGCATACTTATGCGGAGTATATAAGGACAGGCTGAGGTTATTTTAATTTATTCCCTTAGGAGATCAGAAGAAATGTTAGCCGTGTTGTTTTTTGCTAAATATTTCTTCTCTAATTGCCCTACAAGTGTGGCTTAACCTTTCTTTTTTTAAATCACAGAGATCCCTATTTTTAAAGACTTGTGAGGACTACATTATTTATAAAAATCGGTTTTTCATTAAAGTCAGCTAAATTGTAGAAAACTCTTCCTCTAGCGCCCTTTTATGTTAAATGATCTGCCGCCTTATTTTTATTGAAAACTGGTAGCCCTCTTTCTAACATTGTTTTCAAATTCAGGCTTTTTTGTATTGTTTTTACTTCCATGAATGAATTACATTTTATCATATGATCAGTGGACCACCATTCATATTATTCATCTATATGTCAAAATGGTAATAAATACATAATTAAATAAATAAATATCCATGCACACATGGCCACATAAAGAGAGAGTAGAAACGCTCAACCATGTACGGCTCACGTCTGGTTGTTAAAATGTAGGCCTATCGGGCTTTCATATGTATTGTAAATGTAAATGTATTTCACATTTCGACTTTCTTTTGCAGGGGTGCCATGAGCGTTTCCTCTTAAACGGATACCGACAATTTATAAATTTTTATTATTATTATCATTCTTATTATTATTATTATTATTATTATTATTATTATTATTATTATTATTATTATTATTATTATTATTATTATTAATATTATTATTATTATTATTAATTATTATTATTATTATTATTATTATTATTATTATTATTATTATTATTATTATTGTTGTTGTTTTATATTATTAGGCCTATTATTATTTATTGTTATTATCATCATTATTCTCTCATCATCCTCATTTTCATAAAGGAATGGCGCATTAGAAAAAGAATAAGTGGATTCTTTTTTATTTCACTCCAGGTGGCGTTTTACATATAAACCTTACTTAATGGACTCCGAAGGAGACTTACAACTAATAACAATTAAAATGTGAGTACAGTATTGAACATTTTGCATCGTTAATTCACTAGTTAAATGGGAATTCTGTCATCATTCTTTGGCTATTATTTTGACTACGTTTGTTAGGCAGCCGTATTGAAGGCATTGAAAATTTCCTCGACAGAAGCATGCACTGACATGCTGCTTTCTAGTCAACAACATACATTCCATGTGACTCACTAAAACCACCAAAGACCTGAAAGTGCTAAAAACGTTATTTACAGTAATTACAGGTTGGGGATTGTTAATTTCTGTTCGTTGTTTACATTTTAGATTCGTATCTGTTTTTTACATTGATAATATATACAGTTTATTACCAAGAGCCTATAGTAACCCTGTCTCTTATACACATCTAGATGTGTATAAGAGACAGGTATCATCTTCATAGGCGTAGATCCCGGGTGATGGGGGATATATCGCCCCCAATATTTGACAATGGGGGGATGGTCCATTGTATCATCCCCCCAATATTTTGACTATGTATGGGATAAAATGGAGCTTTACACACTTCAAAAGACTGTCACAGAAATAATTTGCACTGTCT